GCACAGCTGGCTGGGGAATTCTGGGAGCTGAAGTCCACACCTCTTAAAGTTCCCAAGGTTGAGAAACACTGGTATACAAGCTCTGGTTCTGCTTTTGCTTAGGGCTGCCCAGCGTCTTCCGTGCCCTGCAGAGTAGCACAAACCGGACCCAAATAGTCCTGCAGAGAGAGGGTTGGAGGAGGCAGAGCCGTGGATTGGGGCGTTTGAGCTAAGAGGGCCTGCCAGCATAGTAGGGAAAGGGTTGGACCGGCATCGGGGAGATCCAAGTTCGAGTCCACCCCCTCATCTGGGGCAGCTCTTTGGGCCGGGCCTTCCCCGCAGCCCAGCCTTTCTCACAGGGTGGTGTTTGGGAAGAAGTGATGCTGTGAAGGTGGGAAATATTTAAGGCAATTGGAGAAGCCTGGGATGACCTGGCCTGGATCTAGCCTGACCCTTCACCTTTAGCAGTTTAAGCAAGGCGGTTTTTTCCATTCACCCACGGTAACTGCGTGCACGTGTGTGTGTGCGTGTGCACGCGTGCGGATGTACACCTATAGGGGGCGGTCTCCGCACCCCTAAGGACTCTCAAGAAATTCCTCTCCCAGAGCTCCCGCACTGAGTCACCAGCTCAGAAAACGCCCCTGGAACCCACTGAAACATGACAAGAGGGTTGTGGGTTGGCTTTCCAGAGCACTGAGCCCGATCCGCTGGAGCTGCAGCGGCAGCGCGAAGCCCATCGGAAGATGCTGGCCAGGAAGAGAGCGAAAGAGCAGCTGCGGACTCAAACCCCAGAGCCGCTGGAAGGCAGGCGGCACGTGGATGTGCAGACAGGTAACCTGCCTCACGGGCCTTGGAGTAAAATGCCACTGCCTGTCCATGGGGGTGGGATCCCAGGGCCTTTTCCATTCAGGCAAGACCTGTGTTTGAATCCCTCCGGTGACTGGGAGGACGCAACTGTGAGGGGTTGGCGCATGGGCTGCGCATGGGCCAAGCGTGCGAGTTTCCTACCAGTAAGCCCTGCGAGTCCTTCGGAGCAAAAGGAAGAAACGTGCCGTAGCGTTTGAAGGCGCCACCTTGGCAGCCCTTGAGAGACGGAACTCCAGTTTCGTCACAGAACTGCCAAGGTGGAATCAATTAGAGGACTAAACAAAGACCGAGGCTTTTGATCGCATTGTACGTGTACACGGACGAGTCGGTGCCAAAAAAATGTCTGCGTCACCTCGAACAAATGCTTTCGTTTCGATTCAAAAGCGGTTCCGGGTCGTCTCGCAGAGTGCTTTGGCTGCAGCATCAGCTCCAGATCTCCACAATGCCGACAGTGTTTGAGAGCTGAGCCAATGTATTTCTGACTCAATGGTTGTGCATTTGGAACCCCATTGAAGGCAGCGCTTCCTTTGAAATGCCGGGGTTTGGTGGCATTGTGCAAACTCCATTTCCCCACTTGTAGCAATTCTCTCTTCATCAAGCCTACCAGTTCCTCAGCTGCCTTGGCCTAAGAAAAGGGGAAAGGTGGCCTGACAGCTTTGCAGCTCGCCCTCATAGGAACTACATGGATTTTTTCCTCCTCCTCTTCCTCTTCCACCTCCTCCTCCTCCTCTTCCATGCAATTTCTCCTCTGCATGAAGTGGGTGTAAGGGGATGTTTGTTTCTCCAGGAGCTATGGTGGTAGGGGACAGGTTAATTTTTTTTTTTTTTTGCTTGTTCTCAGCATTGTGAGGTTGTCAGCAAAGAAAATACCTGCTGATTATCTTTATACTGCTTTTAAAGAGGGAAAAGGGGGAGGGGAGGTCCCATCCTCCTGCCATTCCTCTTCTGTCGTTTCCTCCTCTTCCTTCCCACCCCAGCGAAAGCTGGGTGATGCAGCGCCCCTTCTCAGAGCACCATGTCTGTGATGCTGTGGGTTGCGATCCACAGAAGATAACCCACTCTGGTCAAGCTTGTCGATTACATTCCCATTGGATTTTTCCCGTGAAATTCCTCTGAGGAAACCAAGTGGCTTTTGCAGGCCATGCTCCAGCAGAAATGCCTTTTTGCTGAAGGATGCTGTTGCTGAGGACAAAGCCTAAGAGCTCGCCACGTGCCATTTCAGAATTGTACCTGGAAGAGCTTGCAGACCGCATCATCGAGGTGGACGTGGAATGTCAAACCGATGCGTTTCTGGACCGACCGGCCACTCCACTCTTCATCCCCGCAAAGACCGGCAGAGACGTGGCCACGCAAATATGGGAAGGAGAGGTGAGCTTTCAGGAAACTGCCCAGTAGACAGGTGGCCCTTTGATGAAACCACCATTCTTTGCAGGGCCTCATTTTTGGATAGAGGAAATTCAGATGCCTTTGCATGTAGAAAAGTGGCATGTCAGGGAAAAGGCAAAGTGAGAGCTCTTTTCTTTGACTAGCTCCTTGTCTGTATGCAGAGACGATCATTTCATCATGGAAAAATAGTTGCACAAAACTTTATCTGGACACCGAAATGGATCCAGGTATTTCTCAGCTTCAGCAGTATCGGCTTCCCACTGTGTCTGCAGGCAGAGTAATGGCAAGGGGGTTCTCCCCCAAAAATGTCCCCCTTCACAGAAAGTCCCCGAAAAGGAAATTTGCAGAACACTAATCCCAGAAGCCCCTTCTCCCAAATTTAAGGCCCGCCCTAAATGTTCTGCTTCGGGTTTGTTTTCCCCATCTCAGCTTTTTGATTTTGATATCGAAGTCCGGCCGATGCTTGAGGTCTTGGTGGGCAAAACCATAGAGCAGGCTTTGCTGGAGGTGATGGAAGAAGAGGAGCTGGCCAATCTGCGCATGCATCAGTATGCCTACCACGAACTGCGGGCGGCAGAGCTCGCTGAGGTCCAGCGCCTTGAAGAGCAAGAGAGGCGGCACCGAGAAGAAAAGGTACGGAAGGGCAGACGCGAGGCTGGGGAGGCCATTTTTGGTTTGGGAAAGAGCAGGAGCATGCTTTTTGGGTCAGGACCTTCCTGTGGAAAGGGGTGCATGCTGATCCCAGCTGGGATCAGGGCCCAAAAGAAGGGGGCAGCACCCCCTTTCTCCCTCTGCTACGTCTTGGAGCGACAGTCAGCACCGGATGTCTCTCGGCCCAAAGCTGTGGCCTTGGCAGCTGGTGGAAGCGCCTTCCAAAGCGGGGCAGGCAAGTGTCTACAGGATGAAGGGGAGAGGATATCGAGGTACAGCTATTTTTCCAAAAAGTAAATGGAACCTCCATCTTTAAGGGCACTCCACCCCAGTTTCTGGGAGGAAAAAAAAGTAAAGGAAAGGGCATTCCTGTTATGGCCTTCGGTGGTTGCTGTCTTATGAAAGCAGCTGTCTGGCCACAGTCCATAAGGCTGTGCGGCGCTTTGGATCCCAACCCCAAATGTGCTTTGGAACTCCCAGGAGCGTGCACGCAACACCCGCCAGGAACGCCTGAAAGCAAGCGCCTCTTTTCCCAGGATGCACTTCAGCTGCAGAGGGCAGCCGCATGACTGCAGGAAAGTTGTGGCTGCTTTAAGGTGCTGCTGCTTGAGAGACCTGCACCCTCTGCAGCATCTTCAGGGGTTGAAGTCCAAAGCACCTGGTCCTGCAAGGCTGCTCTTCTGGGAGGAGGGTTTGGAAAAAGGCCCACCAGAGAGGGCTGGACCTCTCCTGAACAGCAGAGTTGGCCCTCTCGGCACTCCGTTCACTTCCCGAGGCTGAAACACAAATGTCGTTGGGTTGCTCCAGAGCAGCGTTTCTCAGACCTGGCCACTTTAAGACATGTGGACTTCAACTCCCAGAAGCCCATGGCTGCTGCTCCAGATTGTCCCACTACCCGGGCAACCTTGGCATTGGCGTTTCAGGGGCTTCTGCCTCTGCAGGGCAAGCGTGGTAGAGAAAGCTGACCGGGTGGTGCCTTGGGAAGGGGCCTTGAGTGCTGCCCCCCTCTTCTGAGGCCTGGGAATTATGGAGGGGAGATCTTAAGCGGGAAGCAAGGAAGGAACCCCTGGGGTTGCCTGGGACAGCAAAAGAAGCCGTGCCGGGGGTCAGCACTCTTTGGGCAGGAGAGGCTGGAGTCGCCCCAGGTAAAGCCAGCAGAGCAGACGGAAGGAGGTTGGCTGAACGATGCGTCTGGCTTCCTCCCGCAGGAACGTCGTAAAAAGCAGCAGATGCAAATCCTGCAGAAGGAGAAAGAAACGGCGGAGAAGATTGCAGCCCGGGCCTTCGCCCAGCGCTACCTCTCGGACCTCCTTCCTTCCGTCTTCAGCAGCCTTCGCGACAGCGGATACTTCTATGATCCTGTGGAAAGAGGTGCAGGGGGAGACGGTTTCTCTGGTTAGCGCTGGAGATTTCCAGCCTGACGGTGGAATCGGAAAAGAAGACCCAGGCTGAGGTCTTTCATGTTTCGATATCCTGATTTATCCTGGAGGCTAGTGAGGATTAGGGATGGACGGACGGACGGGTCTGTTTCAGACTTCCCCCTTTGCAGATTTGTGCAATTCAACATTTCTCATTTTTCCATTTGTACATTCAGTTCATCCCATTCCCATAGGTGATTTTTTAAAAAAAGTTTGCATCAGGGATGTCTGGAGGGGGTCAAAAAAGTCAAGGTGGTGGCCACAACCATGTGATGTACATCGAAAAGGGCCAGGCTTGGATCACATGGCTGTGGCCACCATTTTGACTTTTTTGCCCCCACCCCTGCAGACACCCCTGGTTTGTATGAACCCTCGTATATAAGTTTGTCATGTTTTTTCAAAAGTGTGTTTTCGTTGGCCACTTTGCCTACAGTTCTGGCAAGCACCTTTCCTTGGCATAATCATTTATTATCTTCATGGATACATTCATATATTCATTGAAGGCATGTTTTTTCCCCAGTGCATGTTTTATCGGCTAGCTGCAAAGCAACGTTCTTAGGGGTCCCAGTTTTGAAAGGCAACTATATTTTAGTTCTGGCGTTGGCCTAAAAATGTTCCATGCTCCAACACAAGATACACAGGCGTCTGTACGAATGTCAGTGCGCCTACGCCCGGGGTGACGGTCCCCTGATCTGCGGCTGCAGGATGCACAGCTGCCGACATGCCCCAGGGCAGATCTCTGCTTAAAAACACACCCAGTTAGGACTTCGTAGTTTAACAAGCATGCTGGAGTTGCTTAGCTCCGGATCGTTGGCTTGCCTTCGAAGGAGTCTGGTGGCACCTTTTCCAACTCGCAAATTTTACTAAAAGGCCGAGGACCCCGTCACAGACTGCAACGGCTCCCTCGGTTCTTGTTTGGCAAGCAGACCCAGGGCCCAGGTGACGGGGGGGGCAATGGATGTCACATGCATCATGACATCGTTGTACAAATAACATCATGACACGGATGACATCATCGCAGCTGCTCCCGACGGCCTCCGGCACAGGGTTGGGCTCCTTGGTGTGGCTCAGCGGAGGGCACCGTGCAGCCATCCGGCCAGGGATGATGGGCCTCGTCCTCCATCCCTTCCCGGAAAGCCCCAGGTTGGCAAAGGGGGGCATAGCAGTGGCCGAGTGAGAACGGTGACCCTGTTCTTTCCCCCCCAGACATCGAGACCGGCTTCATCCCTTGGATAATGGGGAGGATGGAGGTCTTGCTGGAGCAGAAGATCCTCGGCCGAGTCATTGCTGATAGTAAGTGAGGTTCTGCTTCTCCAGCAGTTGGGCTGTTTTGAAATGAGGGGCTCACACGTTGCCTGAAGGAAACAAGGCCCCCCTTCACTGACCCCCTCCCCACTCAGCAGTCTCCCAGGAAACGCAGAGCTGGGGTGGGCTGGGGTCTCCTTGGAGGAGAGTTTCCGAGGCTGAAGACTCGACTGGACCATTGTGGTCAAAACCGGGCTCCCCTAAAGTAACCAAATCAAGATGCAACGTAATTTTACTAGCAGGCTTACAGTATATCCGGCACTTTGCTGAGCAGCCCTGATCAAAAGCAGGACCAGGCTTGTACGGCTTTTGCCCCCGACACTGCAAAGACAAGGCAAAGAGGCAGACACAGTGTAAACTGCGGCATAACTTTTGGAAGTGAGGAAACCCTGACCAAAATTCTTCAGTTTGCCTTTTAGCTCTCCTGAATTTTGGGGCAATTTGAAACCCTTCCTTCCCCCTGCCAATCCCCACAAATTCTTGTCTTCTTCCACAGAGAAGCTTGAACGAAACACACTGTCTGTTCATGCAGTGAAAACAGTCAGGTTTATTCATATTTTTCTTCTTCGATCTCTCTCCTAAGAAAATACTCCAAAAAGCCACCCCCCAACCCCAATTTGGTCCCCTGCAAATAGAGTGGATTATCTCAGAGATTGTTTGGCTCAGCCAGAGTGAGATTTTATCCCCCCCTCAAATTCTCAGACAATCCACAGGGGGCAGTAAAGGATGTCCTGGGCTGTCCTGGCCGATGGCAGGGAGGTAAATCCTGGTGGGGCCCCTTTTCTTGTCATCCCAGGCTCAGTCTGATGGATGGATGGAAGGAAGGAAGGAATGAAGGAAGGAAGGAAATGG